TATCTATCTATCTATCTATCTATCTATCTATCTATCTATCTATCTATCTATCTATCTATCTATCTATCTTATTCTATTTTCCTTGCTGTCATCACATAGTTGTTCTATCAGAGTCACTCCCACTGTTTTGTTTACAGTGCTTTCAGCAGTGTTTGCAAGAGTACGACTGTGGACAATAAATTGTATCGGGACATAGGGCGACACAGTGTAATGAAATAGTCAGCCTTACCCACTCAGCAGTGGTTTCCAGACAAAACTAGTACATACTGTATTTACTGTACCTGATGAACCAAAGCTACTGTGCAGCAGGTTTTGGGGGGGGGGGGGAGTTTAAATGGTGTGATGAAGTTTCTAAAAGAAGTCAGTTCAGCCTCTGCAGCGTTCAGGAGTTGCTCGACAGTTGTGTTTAGTGTTCACTGTCGACTGGCAGTATATTTTCTAAGAACATGTCAGCACTCTCCTGGTGTGTTTACTGAAATCACAGCAGGTTCCTGAAAATAAGGGAAGGTATTAACAGGCGGCTGGTTTTTGTCCCAGCGTTGATGGCTGGCCCGGTGATAAAAATCACAGTTACACACGCGCAAACACGACTAAAGCGAATGTCTACCCCAGGGATAGCTCTGTTATAATCCCATGACACATGTGTGATGAAACAAAGATCTTATATCTGTAACATTTCAGTTTAGTCTTTTGTTTTTGGTGCTGGTGGTCATGCAGAACAAAGCAGCATATGTCTTCTCATACACACACACAAAAAGCCAAAGAGCTAAGCTAGGAGGTAAGACAAGATATTTTCTGGTTTCTAGGAAAGACAGTTATGTGAGAGCCATGCTGGACCTGCACCTGCACCTGCTGAATGTGTGCATGACCCTGCATGCAAACTTTAAAAGAAGCTGCTGGAACTGTTCCAGCTGGGCAAAACTGGTTCAGCACAACAGATTTAAAGGGCTTTTGTAACTCTATAGTTTCCAGGCATAGAACGGTTCTACTTTTCACCTCAACAGTGTTTATCCCACAACTACAACTTATTCCTGTTCATTTTTAGCTCCTTAGACATTTTGTGGTGTGCAGACACACAGGGTTCAGAGTTCTGCTAATAAAATGCTAACTGAGATTTTGTGTCTGTACAGTAACTAGACCTGTAATGAACATTGTCTGGTCACAGTTTTACTTTTTTAGGAGGGACATTTAGGATGTGTTCCTGTGAAGCTGACAGAATGACTTATATTTTTATGTAGAAGAACCTGGTCAATTAGTTTTGTTGGTTTAAGAAGTATTTTTGTTTGTTTGTTGTAAATACCATTATAAAATCTTCCCATCAGTGTAATATTTTCCTGATATGACTTTTTTTCTGGTTCATTCTTATGTTTTTGGCATTGCTGGATAAGTGGCGCAACTGACTTTATGGGGATCCTCCACCAAGGCCAATGCTCTGCGTTTCTATTTTGAATAAAGCGATCTAAATATGCAATATGCATTTTGTTTTGGTTTTTTTATACTCTTACTGACAGACAGACAAAGAGATAAATATCACTGAGCACATAAATCCACCGCAGTGGGAGCAGGATAAAATAATCCACGCGTCTCCTGGAGCAGCATCACCCGTCAAACAGAGCCTTTTCTAAAGTGCCGTTTCCCACGCCTCACCACCCTCTAGTGAACCTTGTTGCCGTGGGTGAGGAGAGAGAGGTGATGCAAGGGGCAGCACTGTGAGGGGGGTCACGGAGAAAGAAAAAGCTGCTGCTCATGTGCTGAACAAACGACAAGGCGAAAAATGACATAAGTTACGATCCAAATAGCAGTGAGAATTGCAATTTCCTGAGTTGTATTTGCATAGATGGGTTTTTTCTTTGTTTGTTTTTTGTAATTAATTTAGGTTTATTTACACAGCCCTCCTTCTCAAGCATCTTTAATTACGTTAGAATTTTTGCATACCACACAGATCCTGTCCCACACTGAATCATATTGCATGCAATTCAAATGATTCTAATCATTTTCATTGGTTTAGAGAGCCTTGGTGCCCTTCAGATAAGATTTTAAAGAGTGACACTGTTTTTTGTGCAGTGACCCGTCTCTCTATGAGGGAAGTGGAATCAAAGTCAGAAAGAAAACTGTCACGCATCAGTGTTTGTGTTAATATGGCTGCTCCGAACTGCTGTAAAAAATGTAGACCACTTTTTAAACCAGTAATACTGTCATAGCTGCCCTTTAAAGGGATTAGTGTCTGATTATTTTAGGCCTCAACAAGTCATTTTTTTAAAAAAGATAATTTTTTTCAGTGGGGCTTGAAGTCTTTTTCAAGTGCAACTTTCTGTCGTCTGATTGACGTCAGCGGCCAGCGGTTCACTCTAAAATAGGTCTCATGGCTAAGTTAGGAAACTCATAGCATACTGCAGGAATGTTTAAAACAACAAACAATGTAGACGGCTGCAATTCCTTTCTTCACATGTTCAAAGAGGCTAATTTCAAAGGATGGCCAGCTCGAGTCAGCACTTCAGTGGATGTTTCTAAAATTTGCCCAGCTCTTTGCGTGGTTTTGATCACATGAAAAGTTATCAAAGAGATCTCAGCGGTTTATGTTCTCGTGTGCTGTTGACCCACGTGTACCGAAGAATCACTTGAGCTGTGTGAATGGTTTTATTTTCAGCCCAAGTAGCACTCCCAGACACACTCCCAGATTATGAGTCCAGAAACTGTTATGATTGGCTGAAGCTTTCATAATTATCACATACTTCAGTGTCTACATCCAAAGACAATAGTCATATGTCTCCCCAGCAGCCGTAAATTACACAAGGAATCTGCACTTGAAGCCGCAAAGTTTTGGACTCGTCAACTTAAATGAATATCTCTCTTAATTTTGTTTTTAAAGGAACGCCATTTAAATAAATACCTCCCTGCATTAAGTAGATAAAATATTCATCCATTACTTATAGATAATGAGTATTGATGCTTTAAATACGCCATCGTTCGTATTTGTTCACCTGACGACTATTCTGAGGACAGCATATGGTTTTTCTTATTTGCTGCTCGTGATGTTGGCCTGTCGTGATCCATCAGTCCACAGCTGAGTATCCATCCATGCAGTGTTTAAACAGCCAGGGAAGATTTATGACTCTCTGACTCTTGATTTTCAAGGTTTTAATATAAAAAAACAATGACTGCCTTCACATCTACACAGTTACTCAGACTTTGTAACAATTAAAAGCATTTTGAAGTTCCTTTTACAGAAGTACCATCATCTGACTTAATCCGTGGCTCTTCTTCACAGCGTGTCTTTGTCCTGTCTTCCTCCCCTCACTCTCAACCATTCGCGGCAGATGGCCGCCTGGTTCTGCCAGGGGTTTCTTCCTGTTAATAGTTTTTCCTTCCCACTATCACCAAAGCACTTGCTCATAGGGGGTCATTCAATTGTTGGGGTTTTCCCTGATTTCTCTGTATGATTGTAGGGTCTTTACTTTACAATATATAAAGTGATTTTACTTGATATTGGATTGATACCAAAATTTTCAGTATCACAATGTAACAACAGCAAATGTACAAGAGTCCTTTAATGTTTTAGGAGCTTTGGATTTTATGAGCAAAGCTTGAATTTCTGTAGCGATTCTTCCTTAGGCTGAGATTTGGCAGGTTTATCAGCGATCATGTTGTTGCTGTGTGAATAATCACAACACAAGGGTGAAGTGTGTGGAGGCCGCTGCCTGGTTAATGCATTGCCTGGGCATTCCCTAACAGAAAAGGTGGTGATGCTGGTTAAAGTGTTGTAATTTTGTATTTTCTAATTGGTTTTTCATTTTTCATCTTATCCTGGGCATTTATGCTGACAAACTTTACCAAACTGACAAGACTAAAACTAAGGACATTAGTTTAATTAATTTTGGTTAGTTTTTTTTCTTCTTCTTCTTCTTCTTCTTTTTTAACAAAAGTCTATTTTTATTTTCATTTTGTTTTCTTTTGTTTAACTGAAACTCTTCATCACATCACCAACTGCTTCCTGCTTTTGATTAATTTGTTCTTACATTGTTATTATTGTTTTACATTGCTGTTTTATTTACTGTAACATTGTTTTATATTTCAATTTCTTGTGTTGTAAAGCTCTTTGTGATTTTTTTTTTTATCTGTGAAATAGGTAATTACTTACTTACCTACTTACATCTGCATTTAGCTATTTTCTTTTTACATTTTTCAGTTTTGTTTTATTTAATCATTAGAAGCAAATTGTTTTAGTTAATGTGGATTTTAATAAACTAAAACTAAACTAATAAACTTAAAAATAATTTGCAAAAGTTTTCACAGAATGTGATTATTCATGTCTTAGTTAGTGGCCAGATCTTAATCTACTTTCGATTCATCCCTAAAAGGGAGTTTTTCCTTCCCGCTGTCACCAGGTACTCGCTCATAGGGGGTCCTGTGATTGTTGAGGTTTTCTGTCTATTGTAGGGTCTTTACCTTGTAATATAAAACTGCTTGAGGCAGCTGTTGTTGTTGCTATGTAAATATAGAATTGAACTGAAATTCATGTCATTTATTTTTAACTTTATTTTTAACTTTCTCTCTTTACAGATGACACATCCTCTAAAGAAGTCAGCAGGGTAGGTGTTTACTTTATTTATCATCTTATTTTATATATTACATTCTGTATATTATAACATAATATTGTCCTTCAGTAACTGTAAAAATGGCTTGATGCTATTTAAGAACTGCACACACTGAAACAGTTGTGTTTGTCCTTGTCCTTACTTTATTTAGTCTAGTGCCTTTGTATGACTTTGTCAAAGGGATAACATCAATATAAAGAATAAGAAAACATATGGTTGGACCATAAACGCATCATGTGTGTCACAGTTGTTGGGAAAGTTAGAAAGGTTCAATGGCTATTGTTACACATACTGCATGTTCACACCTTTGTCATTCACACCATCAGAAGACCGGGTGTCAGCACCCACAGCGAGGCCATGACGCTGAGGAGAAGGAACTAACACATGCACACACAGGGAAAAAAGGGGGAAAAAATTAGGTCCACTTGGCCCCTCAGTGCGTCACCCATACGTCTGTGCAAACAGGATGTGGGAGGATAGAAGGCGTCCCATGGGGAAGGGTTTCTAGTACGCCACTCTCCTTGCCGTCCTGTCCTCACACTCACGGCAGGAGCAGAACTAGACCGCTCTCTTGCCCCGTACTAGCCGGGAGGTTTGCCTCTTACATAACCGCAGTTTTAAGCTGAGGCTGACCAGCACAGCTTGCCAGAGCTCTAATCAGAACTGTGGGGATCTGGTGGCCTCCTTGCAAAACTGCAGGGGGATCCCTGAGCTAGAGTCTAAGGGTGGGGCGGGGAGTAATGTTATGATGAATGGCTTTGTCTTTGTGAATGGCATTAATCCCCTTTCACTGAGAAACAGAAAAAAAAAGTCATTTGACCTGGAGTAATCTGCAGTAACATTAGACTGAATGCAGTAGAGAATGAAGGTTGTTGTCAGGTTTTTCTGCCTCGTTGCACTTGCTGAATTTTGATATTCAATCTCAGTGTTTGTGCAAGACTGCACAGATCCAATTTCTTTGTGTCTTGTGTCCAACAGTACCAGGACACAAATATGCAGGGTGTGGTGTACGAACTCAACAGCTACATAGAGCAGCGCCTGGACACTGGAGGAGACAATAAACTCCTGCTCTATGAGTTGTGCAACATCATCAAAACAGGTAAAAGTAAACATCAACCAAAAGTGGATTTTTGCAAAACCTCTCTCGATGAGCACGGCTTCAGATACTCTGGGTGTCATTTCAGCACCGTAATAGTGGAGGAGCAGGATAAGCTCAGATGCAGCAGGAAGTTTTGTCCGTTTAAAATCAAATTTGGTGCACATGTACTTTTCTAACACCCACTTTAGTAAACCCCACCCACATGCTGATCCAATAAACAAAAGTAAGGATAAGAATTACTTGCAAATTAGCAAAGCAAACCAAATCATGTTTGTCACTTACAGGCCAATAAACCAGAAAATTGAGTTATGTAAAAGGTTAAAAACAATCACTCTTTTTTATTTTATTGATTCAGTTCATAAAGTATTGATGGATTATTTGTTCCTGTTTCATATTATGACTCCATCTTAATGACTGGGAGAATTTCATAAGCAGTGATTCAAAGTTATACTTTTATAATGAATCTGAGTATAAAGGTTCACTTTATCCAAACCTCATTTCTCATTAACTGCTTGATCACTTGTGCACTGACTGCACCACCAGGCTCTCTGACTCCACATTGTATGATAACATGACCTATATATCTGTGTGAAGTAGGACTGGAAAGGAGAACTGGGAATGAGATGCACTGGATGGCAGTCAAAGCTTTCGGTCAGAGTACCCTTGTAGTTATCTAGGACATTGTTAATAGATTGGTATTAGATTATAACGGGGGGGGGG